AATAATGTTATTAAAAATAATATTAAATATTTAGCAAATGTTTTAAGATTTATATAATATGGTCAAAATATAATATGTAATTAAAGAATTTTTATTGACTTTGCATTTTCATTAGTTTTATTTATTCTAATTTTAAATTCTCCTTCCAACGATGACAATATATCTATACATAATTTGAAAAATTCTGCTTTAGCATTGTGAATTATTTGAAAAATATTATCTTAAAACTTTCATTTGTTTTTTTAAGTTACAAAATAATTTTAATTCGTCATTACTAGAATGCCACGTGGAAAAAGAAGCACCAATACATACATATATATCTTGCTTGTTTTTGATTATCATAGATTCAATTTTGTCTGCAGTAACAATTATAAACGATGCGCATGATTATATAAATAGGTGTGATTAAACACTTTCAAATTTATCGTATTAAATTACTTTATACGTTTTTTGTACTTTTTTGGTTTCCCGATAACCTACTATTGCTATTCAGTATTTAAAATTATTATATTGTTCTCATATTTTAACATTTATGTACATATTTTAACATTTATATACATTTTTTACGTACGTGGTTGTGATTGTGGTTGTGATTGTGATTGCGGAGGAAATTCACCATATGGTGGTGGTGGTATGGGTGGAATGAAACCAGGTGGTGGTGGTGGTGGTGATGGTATCCCTTTTTCCATTATTATATTTAAATTTTTTTATCTGAAACACATAAATAAATCAATTTTTATTATATAAAAAATTAATTTCGAATCGAATGAAAATAATTTTCTAGTAAAATGATGTAATAAAATTCTTTCTGTCTTAATAATCATTGGTTTTTGTAATCAGATAAAATAAAAATAAAGAATAATTAATCAATTAAATATGACAATGTTGATATAAAGTCAAATATTTTCTGATATCACTTATTTATATTGATGCTGATAGAAAAAAAATATAATATCTGACAAATATAAAAAGAATTCATATTATTATCAAAATTATTCAAATTTTTCAAAATTCTTAAATTCTTTAATCTGATAAATATATTTTTTCTTAAATTATTTCTTTTTTTTTATTTTTTCATGTTATGAAATTGGAGATCTCTATGACAAACGCAAAAAATTTCGTAATCATATTCTATAACGTGTGTAAATAATTGCTGTTGAATGCAAATACAGAAATGTTTCATAATATATTTCATTTTATTACATAATATATATTACATTGAAAATAAAGTAATTAAGAATTTTTGTAGTTAAAAAAATTTCTAAATAATAAAATAAAAAAAAAAAATAATATATGATTTCCAAGAAATTATTTATATATGTTATACAGAATTATATATGTTATACAGTTGTTATACAGAAAATATGTGATAACAAGCTGATAAATTGGTTAATTATTTATTATATTACTTATTATTAAATGAGTTTCATGTATTAAAAATAAAAACAAATTAATATAAGAAATATACAATTGCAAAAATTTACAATAGCTTGTTAACATGTACAATGTGAATGAATTATTGTAATTTCATACAATAATGATGAAAATCTTTTCCGTTGTTTTTTTTTTTATTTATTTTTATTTTGAAATGATTATAAATTCATTACATTTAAATTAAGTAATGAATATTCTCCAAATGAGAAAACAATTGAAGATTACTTGATACATATTTCAATTTTGTTACTCAAAAATATCTTTTCCTTGTTATACATATATATTGATTTTGCAATGAATCATTATTACTAAAAGTTTCCACGTTATCATTCCATTATCGATCGATTGATACGAAGAGAATGAAACATTTATTGAAATAAAAATTAATTTTAGTACAATATATCGACATTGATTGCATTGAACTGAACATAAACTGAAATAATAATATTAACAAAAAAAAAAAAAGATAAAGCGTTTTAACAAAAATAGATACCAACTTAAGTTGAGTCTTAAAACAACTCAATGATCAAAATTTAAAAATAGAAATCTATTATTCAATTAGTATTTATATTGAAAATAAATCTCTATAAATTATTAATTTAAATAATTATTATTTTATTAATACTATAAAATTAAAAATAAATCAAATAATTATATTAATTTAACATTTATGTTTAAATAAAAGATATATTCATTTAACATTTAAAAAACTTATTTTTTGCAAAATATATTTGATATTCATTAATTGATAAATATTTATTGATTCAAATTACTTTTAATTATATATGTATACACATACCTGTTGCAATTACGGCACTATATATGCAAGTTATCTACTGTCAGACTGGTGAAATCTAACTAACAACTTCGGTTCATGTCGGCTTTTACATTCGTTAAATTCATACTTCGTGTACATATAAGAGAAGAGTTAAGGTGGGAGAATCTGCGAAAAACGTCATGTAGTGTATATATTTGATTTAAAAGATAAAAACTATGATGACTGATATTACTATATTTTTCTAAAATCTCTTAGATAATGTAATCATAATAAGTAATAATTAAAATTTCGATTTATGATAAAATGATAATTGAAATGAATTGAGAGGAATTAGGTTATCATAATTACGAATTAAATATATTTAACCTATAACATTTTATTTTTATTTATATTATTAATATTCAGAATATAAATTTGATGCAATATACATTTTATAAGAAGAAAATAAAAAATAACTAATAAAATGGAAAAAGACAAGTTACTAATTTTTATAAAAATTATATTTTATAATATTTTTGAGAAACATGAATGAATCATTTTATATATGTAATAATTATAAAAAAATAAAAAATGTCGCAATCTAATCTAATCTAATCTGATAAAATACAAGATAATTTCCTTCTGAATCATAAGCAAAACAATATTTTTTATTTTTCATTAACACAATATAAAATTAAATTATAGAAAATTAGAAAAAGCCTAATGAATTATAAAAATAAATCAATTGTAATCAAATAGATTTTAATTGAAAATCAATATAAAAAATAAAAAATATAAAAATATAAAAATCTATTTTTATATATTTATTAGTTACAAATAACATTCATTAATTACAGATAATTAGAAAAATTATATTATGTATATAATTTTAGTAACAATGATATATATGGTATATATATTAAAAGCATTATTTAAGAAAAATATAAATGAAAATATTTATTTAAAATTTTGATTCCAAAATATAAAATTAAACATTGCATCAAAATTCTATTTTTCCAAAATATTTTTTTTTAATATTGTATAAATTATTAATATAAATAAAAATAAAGTATTACAATTAAATTCTTCTCACTTGTTTGGAAAATTTTATAAAATTATTTCTTTATAAAATTATATATTTTT